TTAGGTATATAATTGCACATTACGTACCTTAATATATATTATATATAACTTGAACCCATAACAGCACAAAACTCTCCAAACATTACATGAACATTCTAAATGGATACTTATCATTTTCTCAGTATTGAAATAGCTCAGCTCACTTAAAACAATATCTGGGTGTGCAATGATATAATGCACTGACTCTTACAAATTTACTTAAATAATTATTTAAGTTAAATTCCTGCAAAAGCCTAACTCTGATCTGGCTTTTACCTGAATATATTTTTGGATATCAGTAACTGATATCCTCCTTTCTTATCATAAACAATATTTATCCATCAAGAGATACCGATAAAGAAAAATATGTGAGGAACCAAAAATGTGATGGAGAAACCAACCATTCCATAGGTAATATACCGATAAGGAAGTTCAACTTCCATGTGCTGTCTTGCTTTTCGAATATCATCACAAGGTATACTGAAGATTTTACAGGCTAAAGGAATGGTGATCTTTTTCATTGTATTTCTGACTATTAGTACAAATACTATCCCTATGAGGATCCGCAATATGGCTTTTCCAAACAGAGTCACCGTAATGGGGAGCCTAGCTAAAGGTAACATATCTAGAGAAGGATCCAATATTAGACCCACGTTACAAGTCACATGAGCTCCACATGCAATTCCAGCACCACTTCCCAGAATCTCGGCAGTGTCTCCTCGGGATGTGCTCCAGGTGTCAAGAGTGAAAGAAAAGATCCCCAAAGCTAAATGAAGCCCGATGATGATTAATGGAGCATATTTGTGAGTTTGGTTGAAGTTGTCAATCAGGTCCACAAATGGATAGAAGACAGCTAAGATTAAAATGGCATACAGGAATCCAGCAATAATATCCTGGAAAAAGATAAAAGTATAGTTGTTTACTATAATACTAAACATTTTTGGCACTTAAAAAATAATGTATATTTTAAAATAATGTATATTTGACATTACAAATGTTCAATAGATATAAATTTTTAAAAGTTGCCAAATTCTTAAAGTAAACTTTACTGACCATACAGTAGGCACTAAAAACTGTTTAATGACAAAAAGATTTATTGTTAATAATAAAAGATTATGTTTTCATAGTTCTACCCTTTTATAAATTTACCCTTTTATAAATATATATAATATACACAAATTTACATTCAAATCCTGAATAAACTATGCTTAAATTGTGTATTTTTGATTTCTGTGAAAAAGAGTATACTTATTATTCAAAGAAATGATCTTCATTTTCATACATTTGAATATGTAATTATCTCCACAATGAAAGAGGATACAAATCCTAGGCAGTTTCCTTCTCTCATTGACTCATTCATTGAACAAATACTCACTGAGTACCTACATGTGCTTGGCACTATTTTAGGGGCTGAGGATACATTGCTTAAAAAAAACAAGATTACTGCTGTCACAAAGCTTATGTTTTAGTGGGGAAGACTGACAATACCCACATAAAAGAGTAGATAAATATTATAATTTCAGACAGTTATGAATGTCATAACTAAAGAAACTAAAACAGGAAAATAGGATAGCATGACGAAGGTCCCTATTAGCATGATTAAGGAAGCCTGTCTGAGGAGGTGACACTTGAGTAGGGATCTGATTCTAAAAAGGAGCCAACCCTGTCTTTAGAGCTAGAGGAAAAGTGTTCCAGATAGAGGGAATATCAAGTGCAAAGGCCTTCAGGCAGAAAAGAACTTGGTTAGTGCAAGGAACTGAGAGAAATCGAGTGTAGCTCAAATGGTGAGCAAAGGAAAGAGGGATGCGGTATGAGGTCCAAGAAGTAGACAGAGATCAAATCATGTAGAGCGCTTGCAGGCTAGGTAAAGGGTTCAGATTTTATTTCAAAAGTAACAGGGGGCCATTGAAAGATTTCAGACTAGGAATGTAACATAACCTGATTGATATTTGTAAAGAGCGCTCCCTCTGCACTGTAGAGAATGGCTTACAGGGGAAAGTATGGAGGACAGAAGACCACTGAAGATGCCAGCAGAAGCCTACCACAGTGGTCTACTCTAAACATGGTCCATATCCACATGAAGAGAAGTACACAGATGGATTAACATAGTTTGAAACGTTAACTTGGTCATGGATTAAGTATGAAAGAGGAGCAAAATAGACAGTGATAAAAGACAGATCCTAGTTTTTGGAAGGAGCAATTGATAGAAGATGGTATAGTGGGGGAAATTAATAAAATTAATAAAAATAACTTTCCTTTCTGAATTATTTCTGACAACATACAAGATATTCCATAATTTCCACCTTAAAACAGAACAAAACCAAACCCTGGGGTCTACTCTCTATTACAGAAAAATTTATCAAGAGTTGCTTATATTCACTGCCTCTACATCTTCACTTCCAATTTTTTTCTAACCTTACCACTGCACTGAAATCACTCTTTTCATGAATACTAGTGATCTTCATGCTGTCCCAGAGAGTGTCATCTCTCAACAGCATTCAATACAGTTAAGCAACAGACTAGTTGCTTAATGTTTTTCTGTCTTGAAATTTTTTATAATATTTATACATAGAAAAATATATGTAGGGTATATATGAAATGATAAAATTAGTATCTATGAAATCACTGCCCAACAAAAGAACTGTATTACCAATACTTTCAAATCTACTGCTGTGCTGTCTCTCAGTTCTCACTCTGCATTCCTTCCCAGAGGCAATTTCCAAGCCTGAATTTTGTCTGAATAAATACCTGTTTTAAAAAATTATCTTAGCATATATCTTCAAGAAAAATATTATCTAGTTTTGCTTCTTTCTGAGCTTTGTAAAAATGTTATACATAGTATGCAGTGTCCTTTACTCTGCTTTTTACACTTAACAAGACTCATTTGTCATATGTAGTTGTAGGTCATTTACTTTCATAGTTATGTAATATTTTGCTATGTGATTATATATTTATCCATTTTCCCAGTGATGGTCATTTATATTGTTTCTAGGTCTTGGATTAGTTAAGTGGTTATAGTTGAACTTCAATGTTTAGTTGCTATAATATCTATTCTTAAGCCAACCAGGAATATTATAAACATTGCTACTAGGTTCTTTCTTGTGATATTCCCTGGTATAGGTCTTAAGAGTTTGTCCAGAATATATGCCTTGGAATGGAATAGCTGAATCATAGATACAGACATGTTCAACTTTCAAAGATAATAAAAGAATTTCGAAAATGTTTATAGAAATTTAGATTCCAACAGCTGTTCGCTATGAAATGGTATTTCATTGATACTTAATTTGAATTTCCCTGATTACAAAGCATCTTTTCATAAGTTTATGGACTATGCAATGTATATTTGTGTCTTTTGAGCAGTTGTTCTTTTGAATTTTCTTTTTCTTTTTTATTTCAGCATATTATGGGGGTACAGATGTTTAGGTTACGTATGTTGCCCTTGCCCCCCCCCCAAGTCCGAGTTTCGAATATGTCCATCCTTCGGGTGGTGCGCGTTGCACTCTTTGTGTATGCAAATACCCATCCCCTCCTCCCTCCTCTCCCCTCCCCCCTGCCCGACATCCAATAGATGTGATTCTTATATGTGCATTTATGGGTTGATCAGTTAATACCAATTCGATGGTGAGTACATGTGGTGCTTGTCCTTCCATTCTTGGGATACCTCATTTAGTAGAATGCGTTCCAGCTCTATCCAGGAGTATACAAGAGGTGCTATATCACCATTGTTTCTTAAAGCTGAATAGTACTCCATGGTATACATATACCA